CAGACCCCTGCTTGGAGGGATGAGGGAGAGCAACAGAAGAGACCCTGTGACCCTCATCCAGAACACGTGGACGGCATGAAAGGCTGAGGGTGGAAGGAGGAAGGGCGGGCCAGTGGTGCTGAGCCAGGCCCGGCAGAAAGAGGAGCGGCCTCTGCCGGGAGTGGTATGCTCAGTCCTGAGTGTAGGAGGGCTTCAGTAGGGCGGCTTTGGGTTCCGGAGGATGGGCCAGAGGGGACCTTACTGTCATCGAAGAGAAAGGGGGGTCTACAGGGAAACAGCCAGTGGCCTCAGTGCATCCCCCTCCACAGGTGACCACAGAAGGTGAAAGACCAGGGGGAAGAGGCAGGGCCATGGAGGCCAGCCCCCCCCTCCCCAAAGAGTCCAGAAGCTCTGATGCAGAACCAAGGCTCACACGAGGCATTAGCCATTCAGACAAAGCAGGGCAGGGCTTCCCGTAAAGCAGTGGCCTGGAAATGCTGTTTCCTGACAGTGTCTTCCAGTCGGCTGGACCTGATGAAGCACCCACCATGCACAGGGGCTTACTCTCTTCGGGTTGTGCTCTCTTGACTTCTACATGAAATTGCCTGGTTGCACGCGATGCTTAAGTCTACAAGTGTGTTCCTAGTGGCCTGTGGCTGAAGGATGTTGACAAGTTCTACGATGGGTATACATGTTACAAATTATTGTGTCTTCCTGGTGCACTGATTATTTTACCAATGTATGATGGTAAAATAATCAGTGTACTGCTTTATCGTTAGGAATGACTTTTGCCCTAATGTCCATTTTGTCTGATACAGCTACACCAACCTTGTTTTGGTAGATATTTACCTGGCGTGGTAAGCAGAATAATGACACCCTCTCCCCCAGAGATGTCCGCATCTAATCCCTGGAACCTGTGACTCTGGTGCCTTACATGGAAACGGGGACTTTGAAATGGGAGATTATTCTGCATTATCTGGGTGGGCCCAGTGTATTCACAATGGTGAGAACGAGAGGGAGCTGGAATAGAGAGGGCAGTGTGGTGCTGGAAGCAGAGACCACGGTGATGCACTTTGAGAGGGAGGAAGGGGCCATGGGCTAAGGAATGCAGGCGGCACTAAAAGCTGAAAAAGGCAAGGAAACGAATTCTCCCACAAACCCTCCAGAGGAACCAGCCCTGCCGACACCTTGACGGTAGCCCAAGAAAACTAATTTTGGACTTCTGACTTCCAGAACTGCCAGAGAATAGATCTGTGTTGTTTTACGCCTGACACTTGTAGAACTTTCTTACAGCAGCATCGGGAAACCAATATACCCCACATTCCCCATATCTCTAATCTCAGAGCTTCCATCTGAGCTCATTTTCCTTCTGTCTAAGGTAAATCCTTCTGAATTTTCTTCGTTGAAGCTATTTTGGTGATGACCTTTCTCATATTTTGTCTGTCTGGAAAAGGACTCTCTTCCCCTCACAGACTAGGAAGCTGGTTCCACGTACGTTTCCTGGAGACTCTTTCCCTTCCTTTGCCTTCCCCGGGGGTGAGAACCAGCTTTGCTTCCTCCTCTTTCATGGTTGAAAGTGTATCAGCAAACGCCGTAGGTGGACATTAGCACTGTTCCTGGATACCTCTTCCCCACCCAGGCACAGGACAGGGCGTGTCTGGATTTTTCTGGAGGGGTGGGGCCGTGTGGTTAGTTCTAGCAATGAGTGATAGTAGACAGTCTGTGTTTCTTGTGGGCTGAGCATTTCACTGCTGGTGTGAGCCCTCAGAGACCTCCATTTCCCTCTTAGCAGCACGTATGGTGGAAGCTGCCCTGCCAGCCCGGGTCCCTGAGTGGCTCCAGTGAGTACAGCTCCCTGTCAGTTTTCAATGGACGCATGGTAAGAACAAGAAATAAACTCTGGTTGGGGCTGTTTGTCGTCACAGCAAAACCTAGCCTATCGTGACTGATACAGTGCTCCTGATGACATCTATAGTTTTGTTTCTCCTTTCAGATCCAATCAAACCCAAAGCTTTAAGGTAATCATGCCACAGATTAGACTCTCAAGGTTCTAGGATACAGGATCTGATCAACAGAGGGGAAAAAACAGCACTTTATGCTGCTATATGATTTTAGAAAAGAGTTCATGAAAATTGACTTCCTGTCCAGAATGTTCTCGGCAGCTGGGCTGTCATTGTTGCTCCTGTTATAGAACGTTAGGCAATTGTCATGAAAATTAACACTCAAAGGTTCCTGTTTACATTTTGTAACTGATTTTCGGTATCCTTACTAGGATTTTATACAAAAACTTTTGTATTCTGTGTATGTGATGTATTCCTTCATGGAGTTTTATTAAAATCCTTTTCTTTTTTTCTTCTAAAGGAATACATTCCTATTTAATAATGCAAGTCAATGGAAAAATAAGATGTGACACTCCAAAATTCACTTCCCAATTCACTTTTAAAGGCAGATATCAATTCCATATGAAGATATGCAGTTATAGTTTCCATATCCTCAGAAGTAATTAGATGCTACTACTATTACTAATAGTGCTACAAGTACCCAGACTCCACACTACCTGCCATAGGCAAAGACCAGCAAGCCCAGTTACACCTCAGGTGGGGTATGTTGGATTCACAGGCAGAAGAGGGAGCTAGATTTCATGGGTCTCCGTTCTCCTGCCCCCTTCAGAGAAAGGCCTATTTTTCCTAAGAAACAGATGAAAGAAAAACAACCAGCATTCCTAGTCAGGCAGTTTAATTTCCCCAGCATTTTTTCTCTTCCATAATAAATATAAATAATTGTATCACGATATTTGGGGAGATATGTGTGGGAAAACACCCAACATACATCATATGCTAATCCTAACAGAGCCAGGAGTTCCCGAGGCTTCTGCCTGGGCACTCCTCCCCTCTGCTCAGTGCTACATTCACCCTGAGGGCTGTGGCCAAAGCCTACAGAGGAACTCAGCTGGGAAAATGTGGATGTGAGCATTAAGAGGTCATTCCAAACCCTCGTTTCAGGCAGGTTTTAAGTTGCATCTTTTTCTAAACACTTCATAAGAGTGCCCACAGAACGTTAAAATTTCTCCTTCCTCGCTTCTAGAAAACACTCTAAAGTAGTTAGGAGGGAGAGCTGATCGAGAGGCAAAACGCCTGTGTGGGTAACCTGCACATTACCTGCCTCTAAAATACCACTGCCTTGTTTCATCCTGTGTCGTCTGTTTAACTCTCACCCTGTCTCTGCCGGACGATGCCAAGCCAAGGGGTTGGAATGACAGCAAGATGGTTGTGATCTCTCCACACTGGTGGCTTGAAACTGGCTGGTGAGGGTTTGGTCCTGTGCCAGAACGTCCAGTCCTATTACCAAGGCCCCTTAACTTATCACTCATGTTCCGGTACCAGGGGCTTCATCAAGCTTTGTTATGTCATTAAGTCTGGGGATGAACTGTGACTCATTGTTGAGGACATGTGAGTGAGCATCTGGCTCCTTTAATAGCAGCCTAGTGGACTTTCCTTGTCAGTTATGACTGTTCTGAAACAGTACAGTCTTGAAATGAGTGACCCCCGGCTCAGAAGTAGCCCAGCATCCACACAACACCACCGACCCCTTTGGAACCCCCTGGACCACGTACCTTCCTAACATCACCTCCTAGGCAGAGCACAGGATTGTCTGGCTGGGAGTCCTCCTTCAGAGAGCGCACACACATTGAGAAGGTGCTGGTGGCTATTTACAATAGCCAGGGCATGGAAGCAACCTAAGTGTCCATCGACAGATGAATGGATAAAGAAGATGTGGCACATATATACAATGGAATATTACTCAGCCATAAAAAGAAACAAAATTGCATTGTTTGTAGTGAGGTGGATGGACCCAGAGTCTGTCATACAGAGTGAAGTAAGTCAGAAAGAGAAAAACAAACACCGTATACTAACACATATATACAGAATCTAAAAAAAAAAAAGGTTCTTAAGAACCTAGGGGCAGGACAGGAATAAAGACGCATACGTAGAGAATGGATTTGAGGACACGGGGAGGGGGAAGGGTAAGCTGGGACGAAGTGAGAGAGTGGCATGGACATATATACACTACCAAATGTAAAACAGCTAGTGGGAAACAGTTGCATAGCACAGGGAGATCAGCTTGGTGCTTTGTGTCTACCTAGAGGGGTGCGATAGGGAGGGTGGGAGGGAGGGAAACGCAAGAGGGAGGGGATATGGGGATACGTGTATACGTATAGCCGATTCAGTTTGTTATACAGCAGAAACTAACACACCGTTGTAAAGCAATTATACTCCAATAAAGATGTTTAAAAAAATAAAATAAAAAGAAGGTACTGCTGGTACACAACAGGGAGACAGCCCGGGAGGGGTGTTCCACCTGGGCAGCAGGCTGGTGTCCGGGCAGAGCCTGCGATGGGGACATCAAGGGAAAGGCAGGAGCCCAGGCTCACGAACAGGAGAGCCCCTCTCTGTAGACCGGACACTCCCTGAGGACAGGCACCAGGCACACGGTGCTCATAGCTAGTCCTCCACACGTAGCACATGGTAGGTGCTCCATAAATGTCTGTGGAATGAATGAAGCAATTAGAGAAGGACCAGGAAACATCTGGCCAGCAAGATGAATAGGGACAACAGCAAATATTCTCACAAAGCAAATGCTATGATCCAGTACCGCTGAAAATTTCCATCAAAGTTCCCTCCCGAGGGAAGGGTGGAGGCAATGCTTATCCTGGGGGGATCTGGAGTGTAGCCAAGGGGACAAGAAAGCACATTCAGCCATGTGCAACCAACAGTTATGCACACAGCTGTCACATGTTCGTCCTGAGGTCCTTCCCATGGACAACTGTTGGTCCAGCTCCTGCACTCCCTCCGTGAGACAGAAGCCTTTTATAACCCCTACCCCATGGGCATCCTCTAAGCTCATGTTGGTCCTGAAGGATTACCTCCTGTCCCTCCATGTTCTTCTTTCCTGGCAGAGATCTTCAGATTGTCTCTTTTCTCCAGAGATGTTGACTTCTGCCTCAGAGGCATGGCCCTTACCTGGGGCAGCAACGGGAGGGTCATCGTCAGCACAGCGAGTACCAGGGATGCCAAGGACGATGGAAGGGGTGGTGCAGGGGATGCAAAACGTGGGAATTAGGACAACAAGTGGGGGATTTCTTAACAAGCTGTCAACTATCAAAATTGCCTGACAACGGTGTGAAATCTGCTCAGAAGGATGATAAAATGAGAACAGCCCCTCCTCTGTGCAGACTCCGTAAGCATGTGCCTGTGTGAAGGTAGGGGATGAACCAAATGATCTTGTCAGGCTTCTGAGACGCCATGATTCCGCAGCCCCTGGCTTATACAGCACCTTTCACGATGTTGTTGTGGCCCAGTTTCAGACAAGTTGTTTGATCTTATTTACAGCCGAGAAATCTAGGTCACAGCATGTTGGACCATTTGCCCAAAGTTAAACTGAAAGCAGCCTTTGTCAGCTGCCTGCTGTCCTCGGAGGAGAGTCCAAAATTGGTGAAGTTCTGGTTTCTGGCTTATGATTAGCTCCCAGAAAATGATGACAGATCACCCTGCTACACTGAGGCCCATCTTCTTTTCCCAGGGACCTGACACAAAGTCCCTGTACCAGCAGCACACAGCTCTGTTTCTCGTTCTCATGCTGCTGGAGCTCGGGGGCTGCAGGAAGAGCAAACTGTGGCTGAGAGGAGCCTGGACCTCCTGCCCCTGCTCCTGCCCCTGCTCCCCTAGAGCAGAGTCTCCTGTGGGGGGCGTGCGAGGTGCCCCATCTGGCTGAAGCCCACAGGCTTAGCTTTTGGAGGTCACTGAACCTCTGCTTGCATCCCTGGATTGTGGTGGAGCTCAGAGGTCACACCGTGGATAACTACTAGCTGTGAGTGTCTCAAAGAACCAGAGAGATGGGTTAGGAGCTTCTGATGATTTCTCCTTATGTCTTGGCTGCTCTTCTTCATTTCAAAGTATTTAAGGCCATCTGTTTGGCCCTGGATTTTCTGGGGTGACCCTTGGATTGGGAGGGACCTCAAGCCCAAAAGTAGTCAAGTCCATTCACCGCTCACTCTGGTCCCAATTCTGGGAATCCCTCCCCAACACACACACACACACACACACACACACACACACACACACACACACCACCTCCACATTCTCAAATTTTTATAAGGTCTTTCCAAAACCAAAGCAAAGCCTTGACTTCTGAGAGCACTGGGATCCTCCAGTGTCTGCAGTGCCACTCTTTGGCCACTAGCAACAGAGGCTGCCATCATTGTTCATGTCAAGGCTGGAGGAAGGAAGTCCATCTTTTTTAAAAATTTTTTTATTTATTTACTTTTGGCTGCGTTGGGTCTTTGTTGCTGTGCGCGGGCTTTCTCTAGTTGTGGCGAGTGGGGGCTACTCTTCGCTGTGGTGCACAGGCTTCTCATTGTGGTGGCTTCTCTTGCTGTGGAGCAGGGGCTCTAGGCACACGGGCTCAGCAGTCGTGGCTCATGGGCTCAGTAGTTGTGGCTCATGGGCTCTAGAGCACAGGCTCAGTAGTTGTGGCTCATGGGCTCTAGAGCGCAGGCTCAGTAGTTGTGGCGCACGGGCTTAGCTGCTCCGTGGCATGTGGGATCTTCCTGGACCAGGGCTCGAACCCGTGTCCCCTGCCTTGGCAGGCGGATTCTTAACCACTGTGCCACCAGGGAAGCCCCAGGAAGTCCATCTTGAAGACATAGTTTGATCCATATATGGATCATTAAGAGCATTATGTGAATTGTATTTTCTTTGGTACCCACTTTTTTTTTTCATTTTAAGTTTTTAATGAAAGTTGTATATAAGAATACTTTATTCCTGATCTTCCCAATTGTTTCTCCCTTATATCTGCCCTTTTCCTCTCCTACCTGGCGAGATCGGCTTTACCTTTGAGGATCTTTGTGTGGTCTTTGTCCAGCTTTAGTCTGGTGAATGCCCACATGGACAGCCGTGCCATTAGCCTTCTCCCACTGCACTCGTTCAATGTAGGTGACATATTTCCTCCTGTAAACCTGGACTATTTTGCCAATTTGCTGCCCTGTGTAGTGCCCTCATACAACTGGAACTTCACCATACTTTCAGATGGGCATGGATTGGACACGGTACTTCTGTTTCAGCTCTTCAGAAAGAGGGGAAGACATAATCTTCCTGCGAATGTGGGAAGGCACATTGAAATGCCTTTTCCGGTTCTCGCTTCAGTCAGAAGTCACAAAGGGAATGAATTTCATTTTGGCCTCCGGCGCTTCAGCGATGGCCACAAAAGGGTTGGTACACATTTCTTACCATATTTACTACATTTCGTTAGGACACAGCAACACAGAGCAAAGAGCACAACCTGGGTTTGAATCCTGGCTCTGCCACTTGCAAGCCAGCTAACCTTGGACAAGTAGCTTAATTTCCCTGGAGCCTCATTTTCCTCATCTGTAAAATGGGAATAATTATATCCGTCTCCAAGGCTGTAGTGACGATAAGAGCTAGCACATGTAGAGCACCTGGCTTTTGTCTGGCACGTGGTAGGTGCTTAGTGAAGGTGGTGTGGACACCAGCAGTCAGGGTGTTTGGTGGGTGTCCTGATCAGGCTCCACCTCTCCCCATGTGAGGTGCTGCATCGTTCTCAACTTCCTGTTGGATGGGGGTGGGGGTTCCCCAGCTTGTCCAGGGGCCAACACTCCTCTGAATATCTGATTCCTGAGCTCCCACTGCCTGGCACCATACTTTGTTCCCCTGAGAAAGGCCACTGTCATGTTCCCTCCCACGCGGCTGGAACCCAAGCCCTCTGCTGGGCCCCAGCCCTATGGATGCATCGTTCCTTGGCCCCAGAAGCCTCCGGAACTCCTGGCTCCGTTAGGATTAGCGTATGATGTATGTTGGGTGTTTTCCCAGACATATCTCCCAAAATATCGTGATACAATTATTTACTAGAAGAGAAAAAATTCTAGGGAAATTAAACTGCCTGGCTAGGAATGCTGATTGTTTTTCTTTCCTCTCATCTGTTTCTTAGGCAAAATAATCCATTTCTAAACCCCAAGCAGCTATGTTTCTAAATAAGCACATCCAGTATAATAAGCCTGATAAATGATAGTATTAACTCTGACTAGCTAGGGTCAGGCAAAGTGCCAGGCTCAAGCACCAGAGAATTTCTCTCAGGACCTCTTGAATCGAGACATCTGCTGTTACCTCTAGGGTAACTCAGCACTTTTATCAGGCTCTAAACAATCAATCCCTTCCACGCCATGCTGGAGGCAGCTGGTAAACTGTGGGCCAGGGCACGGTATGATTTTTATTTCAGATGGAATGAACGTCTAATTGAATGCTTGCACAATTGCATTCCAGCCTGGAAAATCTACCTGCTGGTTTCACCACCAGCTGAGAGTTCTCAGAAGCAGGTGACGCTCTCCACAAGAGCAGTGGCGATTTCATGAAATTCAAAGTGAAGCTGAAGGTGGCTCCTGATTTGATTCCCCCTTCAGCATCTCTTGCTCATAACGCCAGTGACGGAGGAGAGACAGTTGTTGCCTTCCACACCACCTTCAGCTTAGTCACCCCAAGTGATGTACACATGCATAACCAGCCTCATCTCGAAATAAGGGAGGGAATCAGAAATGTAGTGAGGGGGTGTCTGCTTGCCGCTGCACCCCTTCTGCTTCCTTTTTCTTTTAGTCTATTGAGCTATTGTTAATTCTTTTCCTCCCACACAAAAATGATCACACTCATGTTCCCTTCATGGTTTCCAGTAGAAACCATACTTATTTTCCAGAACATTTCTCCATTTTTTCTTTGCCCTAAAGCACAAGCATTAAGTCAGAAATGGTTCCAGATTCATAAACAAAGGTTTGTGACTTTCATAAGACAACAATGACTAAGTTCTTCACTAAATCGGAATGAGATTCTGAGTCATAGTTTTAATTTTGCTTGTTGAACTATTGGTGTTACTGCTCTAAGAGTTTTTACATCAATTAAAACAAAAGTAACCAGAAAAGGATGTCCATATAGGGGAGAGGCTAAGTAAACAAGAGAATGATCCATACCAAACAGCCAAGAACACTGAATAGCTATTAAAAAGTGTAGCCATGGGGCTTCCCTGGTGGCGCAGTGGTTGAGAATTTGCCTGCTAATGCAGGGGACACGGGTTCGAGCCCTGGTCTGGGAAGGTCCCACATGCTGCGGAGCAACTGGGTCTGTGAGCCACAATTACTGAGCCTGCGCATCTGGAGCCTGTGCTCCGCAACAAGAGAGGCCGCCATGGTGAGAGGCCCACGCACCGCGGTGAAGAGTGGCCCCCACTTGCCACAACTAGAGAAAGCCCTCATGCAGAAACGAAGACGCAACACAGCAAAACTAAATAATAAATTAATAAACTCCTACCCCCAACATCTTCTTTTAAAAAAAAAAAAAAAGGACAGGAAAGGACCAAGGGATCACAACATGCATAGGGTGCAGAAACTGGGGGCACCTAGGTGGACATCCTTTGAGTGGAGGAGATCCAGGCATCTTGATTGACGGCTCCACCAGACTGCATCTGTTAGGGGAAACGTAGCTCCTCCAAAGCAAATTGGCGATGCTGTCACCGGATTCAGGGTGATACCAAAACAGCAAAACAACACATGACCACCATGCCCTCTTAAAAAAAAAAAAAAAAAGTGTAGCCATGAAAATTGTTAAATTTTTTAAAAAATCAAATTACGTAACCTGATCTCACTTTTGTAGGCATAGAAGTACATGTGTATGTGTAGGTGCTCAAAATGCACAGAAAGGAGCCTGGGGAATTGCACAGGGAGCACTTACTGTGGGTGGCACACACTAGGGAGTGGGAGTGTGGAGTTAGGGGGAGGTATGTTTCCTGGATTACTTCTTTGTCACCGGATCTATCACAAGAAGAGTATATCACATCTGTAATATATATGTGTGCACGTACATACAAACATGCACGAGTAAGTATGTATGTACATAAAGGAGAACAGTAACTTCAAATTTATTTCACTCCCATAGTGCTCATATAGTGGTAGTACCACTCTCGGAGGCTGGAAACTGTTCCTCCTCTT